AACAGATAGGGCAAGAAAGATACATAAACCAAGTGATCAAGAATCACAAGCTTGGGGCTGGGGATTTAGCTTAGCGGTATAAGCGCCTGCCTTGCAAGCAGGCAGTCGTGAGTTCAATCCCTGGTACCAATAAAAAGGAAAAAGACAAAAAAGAAAAAAAAAAAAAAGAATCACAAGCTTCCTACTCAAGTCACGTAAATTGCAGGCATAATATATTTTTATTCATTTGAGTTACTCATTTATTTATTCAACAAATATTTATTGAGCACTTACTATGTGTGAAGTCCTATGCTTGCAGAGAAAAACCGAATCATAGGTGCCGATGCATGCTTTAAAGAGACACATTAGTAAGTCTCCAGTTCCCATCTCTGCTACCCTAGTATAAGCAATCAATCAGAAGGAAATCAGTGGGTGAAAGAGTGACTTTGTCCTTTAAAATGCTGAGAAGCCTAAAGATATAAGAACCCATGAGTAAATAAAACAAGAATTAAGAAACCCCCAAAGCAATTGAGGACAAATAAGAAGATAATCTTTTTATTTTTACCCTAGGTACGAGAAAGAATGCAATGAAAACATGATGGAATTGTGTTAGTTTTAACTAAATATGTCTTGTTGTTTAACTGAAGAGTTCCTAGTGTAAGGCACTTAAGGCTACACAAAATAGGCCTAAAGCTAAAGATGAAGTCCTATGTAACATGTACATATTAATAATGTAGTTCAGTGGGTACAAATCACACCACCACCATCCCCATGAGCCACCCCTTTTCAACTTACTCTCTGTTATTTATACTATACTGCAGGTGGGAATTTTAACTGCTGTTTAGATGAGCCATCCCTACCTAGAAATCTAAGAAAAGCTCCTTTCCCTCTGCCCCTAATCCACCAGCATACCAAAATGCCTGTTTTCTGCAGATGGAAGCAAGATAGCAAAAAGATGCAAAAAGCCTGTGCTTTGTGATCACAGACCTAAATCAGAAGTCTGTCCCATCTCAATATTTATTACATGATCATAAGGCTAAATTCCTTAAGTGCACTTTTTAACATGTGTATAATGCCTGTTAAAAGTTTGTCTGGAATAATGCATGTGGAGTACCTAATTTAGACCTTAACATGCAGAAAATGTTGTTAAATATCAAATAGCTCTGTCTTACAGATTTCTAGAGTTTTCACCTCTCTAGGTGGTCTACTCTCTTCTTGGCCTCTTTCTTCCTATCCTGTTGGATTTGCTATCTTTTGCAGAATGACACATTTTGAGGCTAGTTCTCACAACAGAAGACATTCTATATCTGATTCATTTAATATATAAATATTTATTAATCATTCTCTATGTGCAACACCTTGTATTAGGGCCAATGTCAGATATAAACAAATGAATCACATCACGTGTCAACTGTACTTACAGCATTTTTGTAATTTAGGAGGAAAGCCAAACTTGCACCACAATGTAGAAAGTGATGTATCATTTAAGAAAAGCAGATAAAGTGTTGTAATTCTAGAGATGGGAAATTATTTCTACCTGAAACCGTTAGGGAAGACATCTTGGAAAAGGTGCTAACAAAAGTGGGTTTTAAGAACAGAGACAGTGAGGCCAAGGATCTAGCTCAGCAGGCACAAGTGCCTGCCTGGCGAGCACAAGGTCCTCAGTTCAATTCCCAGTACCAAAATAATATTAATAATAATAATTAGAGACAGTTTAATATGTGAAGATGAGTGAACTATCAACCAAATTATTATAGAAATGAATAGACACAAGGAAGCAAAGGTTTTAAAGAAAACTCTTAAAAGCTTGTATGTCCATAATATGGGATGAGTGGGGGAACATGAAGTTGAAAGGCAGGTTGACATCAGACTTATAGGACCTTGAAGGCCCAGGTAACACACTTGGATATGACCTGCAAACAATGAAATGACAGTTTAAGCAGATACAACAGGACTGAAATTCTCTTTATCCATTGTTCTACCTGAGCAGCCAGCCCCTCCTAATGGTTCTGCGGTCTCAGTGTCCAGCTTACTTGGCAGGAGATCCTGCCAAGGTCCTTGAGCGAATTCCTACTAATTCCACTTCAAAGTCCGTACTGCCTTTCTAGTCTGAATTCTTTGTGGGAAATCATGCTGATGTCATAAGTGATTGACGCAATCTGAATCTAAAGAAGGTGCAAACCTTTCATAACCAGCTTATAATTTCTGCCACTTGCCCATGCTTCTGTTGATAGCATTATAATCACTCATCTGCTCCCAAGAGAGTGGCCATTTGAAATTTATCACTACAGGTCTACAATGTTATAAAACCAGCAAAGAAACTTTCTGCCATATTAACAGACAATTCTCAAGAGGAGACAAGAGATTGTAAGCATATTTCAGAATTAAAGAGAGAACTATCACTCCCAAAGGGGGAAAATCCAAGCTACATCTTAAACAATTTTTAAAACACTACAAACTAGAGCCAGTTCTGCAAACTTAAAGAGGCAGTATATCATGCATATTCCAAATATGCCATTTATTGAAAGTTATGTGTTACTAGTCTCTTCATCTGAACAGTTCAGATTAGTTTGAATGACATACATCACCATTTCATTTACTCATCCTATGCAGAAGAAAAGTGACAGCAAATGCTGGAGGAGGGGAGAGATGAAAGAAATATGAACAAAGAGAAAAGCAGTATGAGGAGGATACAGAAAAAATCACAGATGAAAGAATAAGAATGAGCAGGAGAGAGAAAACTAAACCCATGCTGTTGGGAATAATACATGGTCTGCCTGATTAACAGTATACATAGCACAGTGCCAGGTGTGGCCGAATGAATTGTCAGTGCCAACTAAATGTACTGAGAGCCCACTAGGGCTAAGTGCTAAAGATACAAAGGTTTGGCTCTGCCCTCAACCAGTTCAAAGTTTAGAAGAGAAGACTGATAACAATGAAATCACAATGCAATGTGCTAAAATGCTGAGAAGGAGGAGTTATTGAAAAGGCTTAGAGGGTACCACAGGAGACAGAATTCTTGAGAAGCATTCTATTTAGGTACCTTTAGGTAAGTCATGGAGCCTCTGTGAACCTCATCTTAAAAAGTGATTATATCTGGTGCCAGTCTCTAGAGTTGTTCTGAGATTAAATGAATTCATGGATGCAAACCCACTCTGCAAGCTCAGAGTCCTACGCCCAGGTATGAGATGGTTATTTCCTTTCAACGAACAGAGCCTGTTTAGTATTTTGTATTCTGGGTACCAGTATTACAGACCGAACATTGATTTCCCCGCTCTCCTCCGCCCCTTGCTGACTTCTCTGGTGTCCCTCCACCATCCTACGCCTTAGCACAATTGACACAGCACACCCACAAACACACGACGCAGAAAATAACAGGAAACACTCACCAACATCTGCTTGCCTCCATCCCTGATGCCCAGAGACAGCAGCATCTTGCAGGCTAGGCACCCGCAGGCAGCCTCTCGGCAGGATCTGACGCCTGGGTCCCCTCCCCTGCGCCCTCTTCTCCCAGTCCCCAGCTTCCCTCTCTCCTTCTTCATCAAAGTTGCCCTGGTCTCCTACCCCAGCCTGCTTCTCTGTACCTGTTAACAGTGTTTCTGTTTTATCTTGTTTACTCTCCCTCTCTTAGTTGGGCAGACCTGGCCAATTTCTGAAATCTCCTGGGAGAGGTCCATGTGAGGAAGAGAGGAAAGGAGATCTGCTCCCACAGAGGCCAGTGACCCCAGCACCCGTTCTAGGACTCTCCTGCTCACCCTTCCTCCGCACCCGCCCCCCTTTTCTCTCTTCCCTTTTTCTTTCTTCTCACTCAGCAATTCTCTCCCAGTCCTGCTCCCCTTTCTTCCCACGGGGTCCTAACTAAGTCCACGTCCCACGTCTATCCTTCTCTCTTCAGTCTCCGCCTCCTCCTTATCTTTCCCCAAATTTGGGGAGCGCTCACTTGGACCATGGCGAACTTTCCCGGAACCTCTGGCCCAGACTGGTGGCTGCTCGGGCTCTGCCCAGCAGCCGATGACCTCACTGATTTCTGTGAACGCCATTGGCTACTTCCGGGCTGTCTGGCGCGAGATCCTGAAAAGATTCGCGCTTCCAGTTTCTTTGTCCCGCAGCCTCTTCTGGCGGAGTTGGGAGAATTGTTCTCTGACACTTTTGTACCACACACACAAAAAAAAAAAAAAAGAGTTTTAAGTATTACTTAAACTACTGGGAAGAGAGGAGGCCTCTCCAGCCCAGGGTAAAAAAGAAGGGGAATTTGTTGTGCTAAACCAAAAAACAGAGTCAGGGAGGAGAGAGGCTGAGGGTGTAGTGGGAAACCATTAAGAGAATCTGAGACTCCCGGAGGATGTAAAGTCTGGGACTGCGTGGTGAGACCTCCAAACCTGACCTTGATCACTTTCTTCAAGGAGGATCTCTCGGGGAACAGGGTTGAAATCAGCCACTTCATTTCTGGTCCTCGCTCTGTTTGTAGGACTTTAGGTGTGATTTCGTTCTCCCTGAGTTCTACAAAGCAGAAAGATGCCAGTGTAGGTATTTTTCAGGTTTAGTAAAAGAATTCAAGAAGTCTATTCTTATTATTAAACTTGCAGTACTTCTAGTAGATAATATGGTATTTAAGAAAAAGAAAGAAAGAAAAGAAAAAGAATCCTGGACAAGGAATGAAAAATCTATAGTTATCTTTGATTTTTCTGTGGTGACTTCCACCAACTCCCGTTTAGTCTTCTGGGATTCACTGTCTTTAATCTGCAAAGTGGGAAAATCAGATCAGATGATCTTTTAAGATCTCTGGCTCTAACATGTGATAGACCCATAAAACTCAGCATCTTCCTTTAACTCACCCCTTCAGAGAAGAACTCACTTCCTTTTTCAGTGCTCGAGTTAACTTTGCCCCTATCTGTTAGGGTATCCTGGTGAACCTGTGTTCAATAGGGGCCTAGTTTCTCCCACACCCCCAAAATGAAAGCATAAACCCAAACTGTAGCAGTGCGTGCAGGGCTCATCCTTGATGGAGATTCTCTCCCCAGGCTACTGGCAGGAGCAGGATTTGGAGCTGGGAACTCTGGCTCCACTGGACGAGGCCATCAGCTCCACAGTCTGGAGCAGCCCTGACCTGCTGGCCAGTCAAGGTGAGAATCCAGGTGCCTCATCTCAACGTCCCTCAGATGCGCTCATCCTCACACCATCCACCTTCCATGTGCCTCACCTGTGTCCTCACTGCCCTCATTACTGCACAACTCTTTCTTCTGCCCATTGTACATTTAGTTCTTAGCTTTGCACCACCACATTCCCTTCCCCGACCTCTCCCTCCCTCACTCTAACGGAGACTTCTGTACCACTACGCCTCATTCCAAAAATAAATTCCAGATGAACATGTACTCTGAATACGGAGGTTCTGGAAAGATACAACCAAGGTAGAATTCTCCAGTGGGAGCCAGGGACATGGTTCTGCCCGCTAGGAAATGGTATATGGCTATGGTAAATGAAATATTTCCCAAACCTTAGACTAAGATATTTCAAGATCATAATCACTTCCAAGTTGACTCAGCCAGCTCTGTCATTGGCTCACTATTCTCTTAATTCCCAAGTTAGAAGATGACTCTGAGAAGTGTTCCAACGTGAAGAGTGCTGCAGTGAGAGACAGAAAAACGGAGTTCCGGTCCTAAGTGGAATTAGGAGAATGAGTTTAGGCAGCTCTTTCACCCCTTCTACTCTACTGACTATATCTGTAAAGTGACAGAGTTGGATTCCATGATCCTTAAGATCTCCCTCTGTTCTAGTCTGTACCAGTTTAAACACCAGGCTCTGTATCTCGTGTCAGAAATGAACACCCCTACAGGCTGATGCTTGTATGTGGGACTCCAGCTCTTCGGCTTCACTCCTTGGCCAGGACCACTCTGTGTACCTCGTGGGGATGGAGTTCTGATGATTAAGAAAGAGATAAGGGGACAAGGGAGGGGCAAAATTGGTGCCAAAGGGAGTGTGGCGCTTTTAATACGCTCAGTTGGAGGAAAGAAGGAAGTTTGTTGATTTCCTATCTGGATGTGAACAATGCGGTTAAGTAATGTAGTGATGCAGAGAGAGTTTGTGGATATTTTAGAACTAGAGATAGAAAGTATTTATTTTAGATTAGTTCTGCGGAGCTCAGTGCTGTGGGGTCACACAAAGTCAGTCTGAAGATGAGGGAATCAATACTGAGAATCAGAATCCATACTGTGGGGAACACGGAATAGCGTTGGGTGGAGAAAGAAGGTACTGGGGTCTGAGGGGCTCACAGCTAGGTTTCACTGGAAGAGATTCAAAGGATTCATCCATAAGGCACCTTGTTAGTCCTTTTTTGGTTCTGTTTTGTTTTGTATCATTGTGCTGTGTTTTAACTTGACTAAGGAGAAAGTGGTTAGAGGACATGCCTTCATCACATGGAAGGGAAAATTGTAATCCTTCCCTCTGTGATATGTCATCAGGATGGAGAATTGGGTTCGAGTGCTGGGAAGTGGGGAGGATTGCTAAAGGAAATATGCAAGGGATTTGATTGAAGGCAAGTATTGCTAGAAGAATTGGAAAATATGTCAAAATGTTTCAGATTTTATTTTTTGTTTGTTTTTCAGTTTTATTAGCTACCTCTTGTGTAAATGAATGTATAACCTAAGGGCTAGTTTGGCCTTTCCCTGATTTAGTTTTGGGATTATTAGTGAGAACCGTTTCTCTTGTTTATGCTTTATATATAGGTTGATGGCAGGAAGGCAAAGCACAGAATGACAGACATGCTTGTGTGTCTCAAATATGAATGATAGAACTATATCAGGAGAGACACATGTACAGTAGTATTATGTGCAGGTTCGGGGCACCCTTATTCATCTCAGTGTTTGTGGTCCTGTCAGTCATTCAGCAAACATTCAACAAGTAACTGGTTTTCCATGTATTCAAAGCAAGATAAAATAAGGTCTGTCTCCTCTCTACCACCACCAACACCACCCACCACCACCTTTTCTTTCCCCTGCGGAGCCTTAAGAGCACACAAAGACCTTGCCTACACCAAAGTCTTGGATGCTCTGAATTAGATGAGGTAGACTTCGGCCCACAAATGGTCAGAAGTGCTGAAAGTACCTCAACTCTAACCCTCCTCTGGTCCTGCAGATAGTCAGCCCTGGACATCTGATGAGACTGTGGTGGCTGGTGGCACCGTGGTGCTCAAGTGCCAGGTGAAAGATCACGAGGACTCATCCCTGCAGTGGTCTAATCCTGCCCAGCAGACGCTGTACTTTGGGGAAAAAAGAGGTAGTGTCCCATGAGTTGTTTCTTCCCTTGGGAACCATGGGCTTGGAAGAGAACATGGAGATATCCTGTGTGAGGAAGCAAACAGCCAAGGGCTCACCAGGAACTAGATCCCTCGAAACTTTATCACTACAGCCCCAACCCAGGCCAGATACACAGGTATGGTCCTACAAGATCCAGCAGTGCTTCCAACAAAAGCCTTAACAGGCAGCTGATGTCAGTGATGGCCAGAGCATCTCATAAGGAAGCACACAAGATCTGACCTACTTTTCTCAGTATCTCTTAGGCTTCAATGCCCAGTGGCCCAGAAAAGTCACAGAATGACCTAAAGACTGCTCAAACTCAGGAGCAGATTTTGTCTCTTCCACACCCCAACATAACAGGCCCCCTGCCCCAAAGATTCTGGTCTGGGACTGGAAGATAGCATGAACGTTGTCTGTAGAAACCTGGCTTCCAATGCTCACACTTTCCCCAGCCCTCAGAGACAATCGGATTCAGCTGGTCAGCTCCACACCTCACGAGCTCAGCATCAGCATCAGCAACGTGGCCCTGGCCGATGAGGGCGAGTACACCTGCTCCATCTTCACTATGCCTGTGCGAACTGCCAAGTCCCTCGTCACTGTGCTTGGTGAGGCTCCCAGACCCCGGGGTTTCCACAGCATCCTTCTTTGCAAACAAAGTTCCCTAGGTGGGCTCCTTGAAGCCAAGCAAGTCTCCAAGGATTTGGGGAAAGTTCAACTTGTGTTTCTCTTGAAGTGGAATAAAAATGCAAAGAGAAATGAGTTTAAACCTCTCTCCTATACTTGCTGCTTGCTATGGGACAAATCTTTTGCTCTGTTTAAGCATGAACCTTGCGAGTCATAATGAGGAATGATCATGTTCATTCCACCTGTCTCCCAAAATTATGTGAGGGAAGCATGAGGTGTATATGCTTGATGTAATTATAATTTCCAAGACAACTGCCCTGGTTGCTTACATACTCTTATCTCCCTCCATTATTTCAATTTCCACCTTTGCTTCTCTGAGCATCCCCCTGTGGCTAGGTGGGCTCCTGGAAGCCAAGCAAGTCTCCAAGTCTCCTGTGGCTACCCACTTGTGCTCTTGGATGTCTTGTCAGTACTGTGTCTCAGTTATGACACATTTCCCCACTGCTATGCCTCCTTCCTTTGGCTTTCCTTTCTGGTCCTCAGAGAGGAGACCAAAGAGAAAGATGATTTCTCTAGCTTTCTAGCCATTGTTCTAAGCCAAAGTGGAACCCAGCTGTCTTGACTCCTAGAGAGATCATCTCTGCTGGGAGAGTCAAAGCGTGACCTCATGGTGCCTCTCCTTCCTATTATGGCTATTCCATATCCATGGCAGGAATTCCACAGAAGCCCATCATCACTGGTTATAAATCATCATTACGGGAAAAGGAAACAGCCACCCTGAACTGCCAGTCTTCTGGGAGCAAACCTGCAGCCCATCTGACCTGGAGGAAGGGTGACCAGGAACTCCGTGGTGAGTACAACCTGTGTGCCACCTACAGGATGAGTTGGTCCTGGGAAGACAGGTGATGGTGGTGGTGGGGATTTGTCTCTCTGTGTGTACATAAGGCATGGTATAGAAGGAGGAAGGGAAGGATAGACACTTTGTGTACACTCATGCATTTATGGGAACCTATGTTCTTCTTGTGTGTACATATCCCTTTCATGACTGCCTAAATTTGTCCAAGTTGAAACCCACCATCTGAGTCTATAAGAGGCCTCCCACAATGCCTGTATAATAAGGCTCATTGTGCATGTGCACACATAGTCATCTGTTTGTGTGTCTGTGTGTCTCTATTTCTGCTCTCTAGGAGACCAAAAAATACAGGAAGACCCCAACGGGAAAACCTTCACTGTGAGCAGCTCAGTGACATTCCAGGTTACCCGGGAGGACGATGGAGCAAACATTGTGTGCTCTGTGAACCATGAATCTCTAAAGGGAGCTGACAGATCCACTTCTCAACGCATTGAAGTGCTGTGTAGGTCATGGACTGGGGTGTGGTGGGGGGACCAGGTATAAGGTGGCAGGGGTGGCTGCCCATGAAACATTGTGTACAGCTAAGTGTATAGGTAGAAAATGAGATGAAAGGCGACAGGCCTTGGCTAAGGGCTGGCACACTCTTTTCTGTAAAGGGACCAGTAATAAATACTGTAGCCTCAGAGAGCCACAGACAATATGCAAACATATGAGCTGGGCTGTGTTCCTATAAAACTTTATTTACAAAAGCATGCAGCTGGCAAGATTCAGTCCAAGGGTGAGTTTACCAGCCTCTGGGCTAAGCCAGTGTAATACAGCTAGACTGTAAATTATGGTGATAACTGTAGCAAATAGAATCCCAGCATGGACTATCTAGTCTTGACTCCTCTAGTTATTAGCTGTATGGTGTTAGGGAAATTACTTTCTCCCACTGAGCTTGATTTTTTATTTAGGAAATGAGAGAGATGAACATGGGGCTCTCTCATGCTTCTTCTTGATCTTACATTCTGTGACTTCAGGCAAGTACTCATGGAAAGAAAGCACAATTTCTCTGGCTTCATCACATATTCCCAGATCTTTTTCCTATGAATTAGTCCTCTCTCTACCTCAGTTCTGTGATTTTTCCTTAGATTCTAACCTAACCTGGTCACTGTCACATTTATGACTCAATGTTTCCAAGAATCTTGGTCCCCTTATGATCAACCTTTCATATGGACAGAAACTTCGGAGGAAATGTGAACACTTGAAGTTTCTTATCTGAGAAAATTTGGAAATTTTTAAAACAAATTTTCTGAAAGGAACCAAAGAGAAAAGAATAAATAAGTACAAAGGCAGAGAACAGAGAGTTATAGCCAGAAACATTTATTGTCCTAACTTATCAAAATCCTAGACAGTTTTCAAAAAGAACTAAAACTCTTAATTTCCATCTTATGGAAGACCAAGCTGATTTCTCTTCCTGACTTTGGTGCTGTTTAGCCAGTGGGTAGATCCATTCTTCAGACTCTCACGAAGGGAGATGTGGGGCAGCCTTCCTGGTTGCTTGGCTGACTGTCAGTCTGCCGTGGATACCCAGATCCCAGCTGCAGTGTGGCCACATACAAGCTCTGTCATGTTGGCCCAAATGTTTAATCTCTCTGTGACTCCTGCTTGCTTCACTGATCTATCCTGAGGGTCAATGAAACATTATTTATGAAAGAACTCTGTAAACTTCAAAGTTGTATATTGCTATAGGGTATTCTTTAATTATTAGTTTTGAGTGTGAGACTGTTAGCCTTGAGCGTTTCTCTGTCCCTGGCCAGGTAGAGAAGGTCCTTCACCATCTGAGCTCCAAAGAGCATCCAGCAATTACTTCCCAGGGACCTTTTTGGCCCAGTTGTAATATGCAGTTAGTCAACAAATGCTGCATACTTTGGGCAGTATGCTAGAGGTTTCAGTGACTCTGGGGCCCCCAAATGCCCATTCCTTTACCTGGCCAGACTTTCTTTGTTCTTTCTGGTTTGACTGGACCACATTCATTAATTGGTTGTTAAGGCTGGCTCTGCCCTTAGGAGAGACACAGCCTCTTTATCTTCTGTCCTAAACCAGCATCTGGTGGTATTGTTCTAAGCCACCATCTGGCTTTACCCTCCCAAGCAGCCCTTTGGCGTCCATGGCAGATGCTGTTATTCTTTTGCAGAGCCCATCTATATTGTGTCAGGGCTTTTTTTGTGGCCAAAATATGACCCCCATCTCTTGCTGCTTCAAAGCTTTCATTTCATGTTTGCACTGACCAAAGTAATGTTTTGTGCATAAGTGTTGCTCCCAGTTCTAAGCTCCCTTGCAGAGCAGTCAGAACTGAGGGGCTGTGAACTCAGCAAACTATCAAGTCCAGGCTTCTTTGTTTTAAGATTGTATGTTAGGGCCTCTCTGGGTCAGGCAGGTTGCTAGGCACAGATGAAATACTCATTGCTCTTCTTAGCTCCATGAAGACACCTATAGGCTCCACCAAGGACAGATCTTCAAAACCCTATCCCAAGAAGGTTGCGATCCAAGCTGCTCACATATTCCATAGTAAGTGCTGTCATCACTCACAGGAGCTATGGAGAGGAAGGTCTTTATTCCTCTTGAGCTCCTGAGACACTTAAGACAGAAGCTGTGGTATATAACTAGATAATTTTGAGATTTTAGGCATCTCCTATGTAGCATGGAGAGTTTTGTGTTCACAGCATTCCCTTCTCCACAGACACACCAACTGCAATGATTCGGCCGGACCCACCACATCCCCGTGAAGGCCAGAAGCTGTTGCTACACTGCGAGGGGCGTGGCAATCCAGTGTAAGAAGATGCTCACCTCCCAGACACCTCCATCCCCCCTAAATGGTCATCTTCACTGATCATCATCTTCCCATCTCCTCTGCACTGTCTGAGCTGAGCTGTCTACCTCCTAACTCTGTCCAACAGTATCTATGCTTTGTTTTTTCTTCTTCAAAGTAGCAGATGGGTGGCATCCCTAGCTTAGCACCTCATGTTTCCTAAAGGAGAAAAGTTACAATGAAATATGTTAGGAAATCTCTACCTTCTCTAGAAGGAACTCCGGAGACCACCCTCCCTTTACCCCTGTATAGCTGAGTGTCTCTGGCCTCTGCAACGTCCCAAGCCTCATCAAATAGCTTTTTATTTCCCCACTCTCAGTTTTTTCTCCCTTTAGTTCCCTGGCCTTTCCTCTCCTGAACACTGCTGATTTTTCTACCTCAACAGCCCCCAGCAGTATCTGTGGGTGAAGGAGGGCAGTGAGCCACCCTTGAAGATGACCCAGGACAGTGCCCTCATCTTCCCCTTCCTCAACAAGAGCGACAGCGGCACCTATGGCTGCACAGCCATCAGCAACATGGGCAGCTACACGGCCTACTTCACTCTCAATGTGAATGGTGAGCCTCCTCTAGTATCCCCTGCGCTGTCCATTCCTCACTACCATCCTCTCACCTCCTGATGGCTTCCCCTCACCATGCCTGGGAGTGGAGCAAAAGGAGCCACCAAGGATGCCCTGGGGACTCAGGCTCCAGGCCCACACACCCAGGGATGTGTAATAGTGAGGGATCAATAGACAGGAGGGCTCTTGGTCTCCTTTGTTTAGGGTCAGTGGCTCCACTGGCACCATCTTGCATCCCAGCAGCCACCTGACAACAAGAATAAGAATTCTGCACTTCGAGATTCCAGAGCCTCTCTCTGCAGTGCAAGTGGTCATGTGTGTACCCTGCTGATGGGCTGTTCTCCTAGTTCTCTTCCTAGAACCAAGTGTGGGACGTGTGCTGCTTCTGTCTTTTTCTGAATATCTTGGAAATACCATACTGTTGTCCAGGCAGAGAAAAAGAGACAAGTTTGAACTGTGTGCCAAGAGATGATCAGAATGTCTTCGCAGAGGAACCAGGGGAACTCCTTCTCTACCTCCTTTTGGAAACGAGGACAACAAAATGTAGCTGTAGAAGAAGTGACCAGCTTGTATGGAGCAGTCTTTATGGTGGATTGGCAGGGATTACCATGTTGTCTTGCTAGAAAGTTTTACAAATCTTTCTACAGTCTAGAGGAAGTGACTTGTGTCAACAACTTTTCCGGGGTTCCCTGATTTGAAAAGTTCATGAAGGAAATGGGGATTTCAGGGCCACTGTCAGGCCTCCCAGGGACATGAGGCCTGAGTTCTTGGGACCAAAATGTCTAGTTTGACTTCCACTCCAGTGGCCGAGCTCAGCATGTGGGAGCTGCCTCAGTACAACAAACAAGGCTATTGTAAGATGCCAGGCCCCAGGACAAAGCACTGAGGTCTGGCTTCTGCCCCCAGATCTCTCCGGACCAACTCTGCCTCTGCCAGTGATTGGCAGCGAGAGAAAGTTCTCGTGCCTTGCAGTTGCAATCATGCTGATCTTCCCCTCTGCCCTATGCAGAAAATGCCCAATCCAGGGAGCTCTGCTTGACTGTGTCTGGTGGCGGTGCTGACGTCTGGTGGTAGAAAAAGTTACTGCACCTTCTTCCAAGAGCCGCCTTCCTGAAAACCTGCCCAGAATGAAACTAAACCAACCTAGAGACCCAGCCTTGTAACTGATGACCACAGCAGTACATTGGCAATGGAAACCTATGCTATTTACATATACTCTGCAGATTATCCAGGATTAACTTCCTACATGAGTATTTCTAATACTCCGTCAGAGGGAAACTGAAAACCTCCCCCCTCTTGACTTCCTCCAAGATATACTATCATATGTACCCCAGCATCTTGTGGAAGACCTGGGCCCATCCTCTCCGCCTTCTCCAGCAGAGCAGATAAAAACCAAAGCACAAATGTTTTCTTTTCAAAAAATAAGGCACAAACAGGCAAGTAACTAAAAAGCTGGCCCAGTCAAGCCTGAGAAGACATAAGGTAGGAAAAAAAGAATTACAGAAGGAACCAATGAGGCTTCAGGACTAAAGCTGAGCCCAAGGAAAAACAGCAGCTCTCCCATGGGTGGGAGACTCATAGCTATGGCTAATATCATCTTGAATTCTTCAGAATTGTGTCCTGTGCCTGTGTACTTGTTTCAGATGTGTGGATGCCTGACGATAGCTGGGCTGTCCTTCCCATATCTGATCCACAGTCTGTGATACTCTACTGCTATGAACAGTAGATTCTGTGTATTCAGCAGCAGAGACAACAACCATCCTGGGAGAAAACTCAGTCCTCGCCTATAACCTTCAAATGTTAGCAAAGTGAAAACAGAGTTCCAGATTTGCTTATTGGGATAGCTAGAGGTTTTGAGTTTTACCACTAAAGGATTTGGGCTTTCCTACTAAGAAGACACATACAGGGTCACACAATTCATCATTTTTTGGTAAGATGCTCTATGCTGTCCAAGTACTTAATATTTGGCTCCATCGGCTTTTCATTGCTCCTTTCCTGTTTAAGCCAGTGGGTAGAAGAACTGCTTCACAATACCGAACAAATCAGTGGCTAAGAGGACATGAGAGATAAGAGGAAAGACTCTAAAGTGTACAAGTGAGAGAAGGGACTGGAAAGAAGCGTTAAAGTGAGAATCTCTGAGCAAAGTCAAGCTACAGTGCCAAGGACTCTAATTTGATGGTTGTGTAGGAGCAGATTTATTTATTTATTTATACATTAATTTGTTTAATAATTGCTACATTCCAGGCCTAGGGTGACCAACTGGAGCATAGGCTAAGGCCTGTCCCCTTGCTGAAAGTAGTCACTTTATTCTCCCCAAGATTGTGCCCATGCCGGGCTCTGGGAGTGTCTAGGGGCCCTGCCAGAGTGCTGAGATAAGGATTCTCCCCAGATCTAACTCTGTACATCCCCTCTTCTTGCAGACCCCAGCCCAGTGCCATCGTCCTCCAGCACCTACCATGCTATAATTGGAGGGGTCGTGGCTTTCATCGTCTTCCTGCTGCTCATCCTGCTCATCTTCCTGGGCCACTACTTGATCCGGCACAAAGGTCAGCAACGTGTGGAGGATATGGGTATGGGGAGGAGGGGAGCAGTAGGGGACAGACTGGAAGAAGAAGAAGGCTTCAGGAAGGATGTTTGGAGACTCGGTGAGCCCCATGGAGTGTTTGAGAAAGAAAACACTACAGCAACCCCTGTGATAACTGAGCACCCAGGGCCTGCAGCAAAGCCTGATCACTTGGTGATCATCCAAGCGCAATCCAGCCTTCCCACTCAATCAGCTGCTCCCGCTGCTCTGCCTCCAGGGTCTCTGCTGTGAGACCAGACGCTTCTGAATCCATCTCCAGCCCATTTCTTCCTGTATGGCCTTCTCTGTTGAGCCTCTTTCCCACTTTGATCTTATTCCCTTTCCTGGCTCTATCTTTTTTTCTCTCTCTTTCTCTTTTGCTTTCCTGGCTAGGTCTGTGCCGCTTTCCTTGTTCCTTCCTCTTGGACTTTCTGTCTAGGATTACTCCCAGCCAACACCCCGGCTGCACTAACGGTCATACAGGAGCTCATTTCCATTGCTCAGGAAGCTGACATCACAGTTCCCCCATCACCAATTTACATGTGTGCATGGTGTGCGCATGTGTACACATTCGTGTGCGTGCCCACACACACATATACACATGCACCTTCTTTTTTTCCTCTCCTGTATTATAGATGAGATTCTATTTCTTGCCAGAAGGATCCATTATTCATGGGGGTGTGGTCAGGTGAGGCATGTTGGCAACAAAATGCAAATTAGACAAGGTGGGGTGGAAGAGAGCTCCAGGCAAGAGAAAAATTTGTGAGCAATTGCGTGAGTGGGTGTGTGGGAAGTGGGCAGGGGGGACCACAGAGGTTTGGAAGCTGTTCCTGAAAGGAGGAGCCTCTGTCTCCACACAGGCACCTACCTGACACATGAGGCAAAAGGCTCTGACGACGCCCCAGATGCGGACACGGCTATCATCAACGCAGAAGGCGGGCAGTCAGGCGGGGATGACAAGAAGGAATATTTCATCTAGGGGCGTCTGTCCACCTCGCTCGCCCCCCAGGGGCCCCGTTGGGACTGCTGGGGCCATCATCCACCCGGACTTGTACAGAGCGACCCCAGGGCCGCCCCTCCCGCTTGCCCCCCAGCCCACCCACCCCCCTGTACAGAATGTCTGCTTGGGTGCGGTTTTGTACTGGTTTGGAATGGGGAGGGAGGAGGGCGGGGGGGAGGGGAGGGTCACCCTCAGCCCTTTCCGTGGCTTCTCTGCATTTGGGTTATTATTATTTTTGTAACAATCCCAAATCAAATCCGTCTCCAGGCTGGAGAGGCAGGCGCTCTGGGGTAAAGAAAGAAAACAAATTGTAATGTTAGGAGGAGAATGAAGGTGGAGAGGTTGGAGACGGGTAAGGAGCAAGGCTGGTTTGAAGGAAGGGACTCTCGCCATCGCCATCCCTTCTGTTTATCCTCCACCGCAGAGCAGCTCCCCAGACTTCTCCTGGACCCCAGAAACAGGAGGGGTGTAAGCAGAGGCTAGTGGTGGCTTTCTTCTGCCAGCCCACTGTGCGCTATGGACAGGGAGACGCTGCCTTCCATGCGGATGGAAAGGGGCGAGGGGAAGAGTCCCAGAAAAGATAAGGCCTGCACGCGGGGTGCAGCCAAGGTGGGGACCCAGGGCTTCAACCTGGGGAGGATGCGGGTCCCCTTGAAGAAGCTTAGATTGGAGAGACAGGATGGTGGAGGTGGCTCTTTCCACCCATGGCCTCCAGAATGAATGAAGCCAGGCCATTTTCACAGAAACTGCCCTGGGGGACAGCAGAGCTTGGCTGCCCCTCCTAGCTCCAGCAGCTGTGGAAGAGGCGCTGCTCTGGGGCCTGAAATGTGTCTGCTTCCCCTGCCGCCGAGGGGCCCCTGACTCCTACTCCAAACCACCCCCCACCCGGACTGTTGCACGGCAACCACTCCTCTCATGGCATTGCTCAGCAACTCTTCCTCCAACTTGTGCCACCTGCCCGATCCCCTTCGGTTCCCCATGCCAGCCCTCTGTCCTTCCCCCCTCAGCAGCCAGGCAGACATAACAACAACAAAAATACTAAAAGGAGCTTCACCGCACTGAGCTGTTTCCTGCCCAAACTAAGGGAATAATGTGAACTCCGTGCGTGCTTGTGTGTATGTGTGCGTATGCGTACATGTGAGTATATGTGCAAGTATTGTGTGTGTATATATATGTGTGTCCGTGAGTGAAAAGCAGAGAGCAATTAAAGAGGAGGGCCGAGGACCAAGGATCCTGGGCAGGTGGACGGGTTACTGGACATGTGATGAAGTGGAGAAATCCTAGTCAGGGTTCATACCTTACCTATGATGTCACTCCATGCCACCCCTAAGGCCCATCTTGGAGAAAGGAGTCTCAGGATGTGTTTTTGCCCAGGTGTGCATTTCATTGTCCCTGAAACACACAGCATTCAGCACTCCCCTGACTTCCTGTCTCCACATCATGGAGTCAGTGCCACAGCCTTCGCTATGCACCGTCAGGCCTCTCCCCAGCACTGACCCTGGGTTTCCCATCATCTGTACCTACAGGGCTGGGTTCCCGTCCCTGCTTCTGGTTTTCTCTCTTCCTTCCTTCTTGTAACTGAGCTGGTTGCCGTGGAGATGAGGTTGCTTAGCTTCCCCATCCTGCTGGCCTGTCCACTTCAGATCCTGGGTGCTCTTAGCATCTCACTCCCCTGGCCCAGCATGTCCTCCCTCCTCTGACAATGGGCATGCAAATCAGGGCAGCTGCAGGCCAGCAGCTCTGCCCAGTCCTTCAGTTCAGGTAAAATCCCCTTGAGAATCTTCCAGCCCTGCCCCGTTCCCCCTCGGGTAGGGCCCTGGACACCATAGGCCCTTCAGCTAAGCCAGGGCCGCCTCCTCTTGCAGTGGCAAGAGAGCCTTGGGCCCCAGGCCCATTTGGCTCCTTGTCTCCCAGCACCCGCTTTTGGGAAAAAGACTTCCTCTTTTGAGCTGAACCACTCTGTCCATATTACACAGAAGCCATATTTGTACGGGGGGCGGGGGGAGAGGGCCTTGTGCTGTGTGTGTCTGTCCATGGGTGGGGGTCGGGAAGGGAGCAGGGATCGTGTATCTTTATAATCTTTCTAACTCTCCTGTGCTAATCTCAGAGGCCACTCTCAATATATCTGGATTATTCGTGTCGTTCAGCTGCCTCCTTTCTCCTGCTCTTAGTGCTGCCAGGCTGCATACATATAAAGGCCACTCTGGTATCCCTGGCACCAGGCACCTTGAGGGATGCTGTATCTTTGTCCTGCCATTCTTCTATGAAGGAGTAAATGCCTCCACCCCTTTTTTCTGGGCCCTTGCTTTCCAGAGAGGGTTTGGGGTGGGGCATCTGACTGCCCCATCTGCCGGTAATCGCTGAAGGATGCTGAGATGGAAGAGGAGGTCCTGACACTGTCCAGGAAAGACAGCATCACTAGGCCTCTGCCCAACTCACTGTTCAGCCCCCATTCATATTGAAGCTGAAAACTTAGCTGATGTTCTGGGAGAGAAGAGGGAATTTCTACAAGGTACCCATCCTTTTGCACCAGAGTTTCTGTGCCCCAGGCACTCCTATATGAAAGAGACACAAAGTCCTGCACAGAATTGGGGTCAAAATATCCCATGTTTTCTTGAAGGGAAGAAAGTGTCTTGTCTCCTACTCTATGTCATTTTTGCCACTTGGACACTGAGCTCACCCCTCCCAAAGTCCTGGCTATGTCTCTGCAGCCAAGGAAATAAAATGCAGGGAGGGGCAAGGCCACAGCAGGAACCTGGGAAAGCAGCAGGGATGTGGCCACCAAAGAACACGGCCATTGACTAGAGGTCTGCAGGGCAGGTGCCCTTTGTGCCTGCTGGCCAGGGAAATGGCAACTCCGCTCCCCTCCCAAAAAAACCTTCCTATACTGCTAAGATGCCAGGCCAATGAAACAGCTGCAGAGCCTTTACGTCCCACAACAGAAATATGAATAGAGATTACCTCATAGGCAACAGTCCCGTTTTAAAATATGCCATCCCAGGGTCCCCCCAGAGTCTACTTTAATGTGTGAGACCATGTGTTCTGCCTGGTATGGGAAATGCATTCACTGCGCCCACAGGTGGTGAGGCAAATGCCCAATCGCTCCCCAAAGCAGCATCATTCGGCAGTCCTGACAGCCCCCTCAGCCCTCCCGCCCTCTCTTACCGAAATACTCGTAATTTTAGATAGCAACGTACACACCCAGACACCGCCTAGCAGCAGACGTTCAGATGTGGGTACACTGATATACAACACAGGGCCACAGATAAACAGGTATGTTCTCCCAGCTCTGACACACACAGAGCTCCCGCCAAGGTACAAACACAGATCCAGCCACAGCACCATTAACACACCTTCCCTGCAAACCCACACAGGCCTTTTGAATCCTTGCTTGGATCCTGTTCAAAGGGATGGGGGAAAGTCACAGTCATCAGCTGCCTTTTCACCTCGATTTCCTAGCACCTCCCTATCTCTCCCTCAACAGTCACCCCCTGGCCTCTCTTCCTTCCTCACGCTTGAAGAACCCTCTCTTGCTGGAAAGTATACGGGTGTCTTCCTCTCCATCTTCGGGAAAATGCCTGCTGCCTCACTGTGTTCCTTTCCTGAGACCCTCCTGACCGGTCAGATCCAATTCAAAACAGGAAGGTCCAGGGTTCATGCTCAGGCTGACCTGAGGCTTGGACTGGCAGTGGGTGTGGGGCAGGGCTTCCTGAGCACAGCCCCATGGCCCTGCCCAGAACCAGAGGGCCTTCATTAGTGCTTGGTGCTTATCGAGGAGTCACAGCCACTGACAGAGCTGCCAGCCCTCTCTCTGCCTGCCCTGAACCCAGAGTGCCATGGGGAACTGCCTGAATCAGGTGAGTATGGAGTCACACTCCATAACCCCTCCTTGCCCCCTGGTAGCCCCTATGTTTGCTCCTCAGGTCAAGTCTTTATGCCTCTTCCCTTGTCTCCTCTTCCCTTTTCCCTTCTCTGTTCCCACATTTAAAAATGTCTTTCCTTTCTTTTCTCCTTACCCAAGCCTCTTACCCTATTCTTCCCCCTCTCTTCCTCTGCCCTCTGCTCCCCAGATCCTCCCTGGCTTGCCTGGCACTCTGTGTTGCTCCAGCTCCTCAGTCTCCCTGCTCTGCCCCTTTCTACCAGCCTCCTGTGTCCTCACACTGTGCTCTCTCCTGCCCTCCCTGGGGTCCAGGGGTCACTAGAGTCTCTGATTGCCCCCTCTGGCTGCCTCCAGGGAAAGTCTTCCTCAGTGGACACGAATGGAAGTCTGGTGCATCTTGGATACTACTCATGGAACTATTCCTTTGATGAATACACCACCTACGAATACTTAGAAGACTACAACGCCCTGGATGACGCTGCTCCCTGCCATTCCTGTAACCTGCTGGATGACTCCTCATTGCCTTTCTTTATCCTATGCAGTGTCCTGGGTATTCTGGTCAGTGGAGCTGTCCTCTTTGGGCTACTTAAACCTCTGTTCCACTGGCAACTCTGTCCTGCCTGGCCTTTCCTAGCACAGATGGCCCTGGGCAGTGGTCTCTTCAGCATCGTGGTGCCCATCCTGGCACCAGGGCTAAATAGTTCACAGAGCACTATCTTATGCCCCCTGGGCTACTGGGTCTGGTACAGCTCAGCCTTTGCTCAGGCTCTGCTGATAGGGTGCCATGCCTGCCTGGGCCCCAAACTGGGCATTGGCCAGATTCCAGGCCTCACCCTGGGACTCACTGTGGGAATTTGGGGAGTGGCTGCCCTATTAGGATTACCAGTCACCCTTGCAAGTGACACATCTGACCCCTGCACCCTGTCCTACAGCAGGGGTCTGGGTGCTCTGCGGTCCACACATGTTGTGGTCTGTTTTATCGTCTTCAGCTTGTTGCCCCTGAGCTTATTGGGAGCCAATGGGCTGAAGAGGGCACTGGGCTGGAGTTCAGGTCCTTGGGTTGACGTCCTGTGGATGTGGTTCATTTTTTGGTGGCCTCATGGAGTGATTCTGGGATTTGACTCCCTAGTAAGGGCCAAAGTCTTGGTGTTGCCAACGTGTCTGGCCCAGCGGGTTCTGGATCTCGCGCTGCACCTGGCTGAAGCCCTGGCTATGTTGCACTGTATAGCTACTCCTCTGCTCCTGGCCCTATTCTTCCACCAAGCCACCCACTCTTCCTTTCCTTCCCTGCCCCTCTCTGCAAGACGGTCTCCTCAGATGGATAACGCTGGAAGCAAAACCTAACACTCCTCCCACCTGTCAACCAGAAGTAAAGTCTGTATTGCTTTAATAAAGTGGGTAATTTCTTGTTTTGTTTGGGATGAAGAGGACAGGCAGGACAATGGAGGGAAAAAGATGTTCCATGCTAGTTTCCTGCTGACCTCTGCTTCTTGGGCTAGCCTCTAGGAGAAAGTGAATGACTAATAAACATCCTCAGGGCCCACAGATGTTCTCTGAGGTATGAGGTTACTGCCTTCTCCAGGATGGAGATAAGAGGAACCTCTTGCACACTACAGAAACTGGAAGACAAGGTTTCCTATATTAAAGAAGAGAAGCTGTGACAGAGGTCAAATAGGATGGGAGTAGAAACTGGAGAGAAATGGGCAGGGGATTTAGCTCAGTGGCCTCAGAACCTGCCTTGCAAGCAGACAGTCATGAGTTCGATCCCTGGTATCGATAAAAAAACAAAAAGAAAAGAGAAACTGGAGAGAAAGACACAGAAAAATGACACTAAAACCCAAAGTGATAGTATCTCTTTGTGTGTGCTGTCCAGTCACCTGCACCCTAACCCTCATCTAATCTCCTCTTTGTGTTTATTTAAGAGATCAGAGTTTTATGAAGAGGGTGGGAAAATATTTCTGGAGGCATTTCTTAGTCCAGGATATGGGCCAACATAATCCAGAATGAAGTTTTATAAGTCAGCTTTCACAGGTTCACTTTTAGCATGACTCTGGGTTCCTGTGTGTGTGTGTGTGTGTGTGTGTGTGTGTGTGTGTGTGTGTGTAATCACACATTCATGTGTGCATCTATCAATGTTAAAACTTGCATCCGTGCTAGATGCATGCATGTGATGATAGAAGCTTGTATGTGTGCATCTCATTCAAAGTTTACACCACGTGGAGGTGTGTGCCTCCTGACCTTCCTCAGCCCCCCTCTCCTTACTAAATTCTGCACCCACCCCTTTCTCAGGATAAGGAAGTAAAGTTGACGATGCAATTCTTACCCACAGGAGTTTTTTTTTAACCCTGGTCTTGAGGTTCAGTTTTCTCTGTGTAGGACATGTAGAGAGAAGAAAAGTCAAGAAGTCATAAAGGGGGTGCACAAACTTAAAGAGGGCGTACCTAATCTGATTCATCTCCTGCCTGAAACTTTTCAGATTTCCCTTTCAGGTTCTAGCTCCTGAAATAAGTCTTTCTTTCCCACATAAATCTAGGCTTTTGCTTCCCACATTGTACCCTAATATGCTAGACACCTTCTTTCCCAAAGGATTTTCTGGCTGTTTAATTACAACTGTGGAGGCTTTTCCCCAGTCCTTCCTCTGGCAAATCAATGTAAAGATTAGAAGTAAGTGTGTCTTCATGTGGGGCACAACCTCTAGAGTCAGCAAAAAAGCCACCCCCTACCCTTGTTCCAACAAGAGTTCCTCCCTCCAATCCAACCATAGGCTGGGGAAGCTTGACCAAGTGCTTAGCATCAGTCTGAATCTGGTCATGGTCATTTTTCAAAGATGTGCTCTCCCTGGCATCTTTTCTACAACTGACTTTGTGTGACATGGTGGGCTTGGGAGTAAATAAGTTATCTCCACAGAGGGGTGCAGAGATAAGTTACAATATCTTAGGCAGGAGGATGCAAAAGGCTTTTCTGGGTGGGTGCCTTGACAAAGCCTCTAAATCTCCCACCTCCTGTCTCTTAGCAACCACCAGGTTGAGCTCTTGATTGGTGCATCATAAACTGGAAGGTGGGACTTAGAGATTGATTGAGAGGAGGGAGACATTCTGAAAGAGAAAGAAAAAAGAAAATGAAGAAAAAGGAAATCGTTTCTAAATCTAAATTGCACATAGGTATTCAACCATAGTTGGCAAGTACGTACTGGTGTTTAGGTGTTTTCTGGCCAATCTCCCTTCAAACTTACCCCTCCAGCCCCTGATCATTCTCTCAATCCTACCAGATGTTGTCTTCTTCCCTTGCAGGAGATTTAGAGGCTGACCTAGTTGAGGCGGCAGAGGGGCTGTTTTTATACTCTGAATCTTTCAGTGTTAACCTAATGCAAGGAAGGCTTACCTCAAGGCCACGCAGATTGTCTTATCCATTTCTACCTGTGCCTCCAGATAGGATCTTATGGAGTCCAGATAGAGAGAACCGAGACTCACAGGGAACCGTCTCGCAGCTATCAATCCTACACAAAGAAAAGGCACAGGCAGACGCCTACAGCTGATAAGAAGTCCCAGTGGGCTGGAGACAAACATCCTTAAAGTTATCTCTTCTTTGTGCCCTTCCTGCTGGCCCTGCCCCAGTCCCTTCAGGAGCTGCCCTTTTCCTGCATTATCTGCACTGCTGCTGGTTAGTTCTTCCCTGAGTCTAACTCTGACCTCAGTCATTCCTTCAGAGTTTTTCCCAGGGACCAGCTACTCGTGCCCATTTAACTTTCTATACACCACCAACTTCTCTGAGATTGGTCTCAGCCTGGAGTCTGTCCTGCAACTCTTCAGGAATACAAATCTTGTTTCCTTAGCATCCTTAAGAATTTAATCTGAAAGTTGGCAGGGACTTTAGCTGTATATGAGGTATTAGGCCTCCTGGCTAAGAAAGAAATCCTCTCAGAAAGATGAGAGTCAGAGAGGTAAGCTCTCGGGAGCTCACAGAGCCCTGGGGAGGGTTAATTTGCATTAAGGAAAGAGACTTGTTTCTTGAGGGAAGTTTGAACATCACACTGAGGCTCATATTTCATCTACTTTAGACTGTGGCCTCTCTCTTGAGGGCTTAGGAAATGAATGCCCTGTCCTCACACTCTTTTTCATCCACTCTCATTTCCCAAGCTCCCACTCCTGTATCAACTTTCTTCCCAGCATCACTCTGGGGAATTCTGATGGAGAACATCACTGGGGTTTCAAACCCAGTTCATGGCCAATTCTGGTTGCCAAGGATTTGCATGAAAACCATATTTTGCTACCTAATTATTCTAACAACAGCAACCCTCCATCTGGGCACAAGGAGAATCACAGTTTTAATTAACAATAATGTACCTTGAAGATGAATGTGATTGTCTAGGTTAATTAACAAGTCCAAGTCCTTCCAAATCATCTCTAGACATCTCAGTGATTTGGGAAGGAGGGGTGTGGTGCACCTGGGAGGGGGCAGAGAATGGGGAGTTTTAAACACTCAGTTCAGCAAGAATATGTTAACTTTCTTCTTTCCTGTAACTACTTGAAGGGAAGAAGGAATTTCTGGGACACATCTGCTGGAACACTAGGTTAGAGAAATTTGGGTACCATGGCTTAGGATAATCTATCAGGTATCTGTGTCACATTATATTTAGGAAATCTTATAAATGAAACTTTACAAATGAAAGGACTGAGTCACTATAATTTTCAAGTATTCTTTTTTCAGTTATTTGCAAACTTGGTCTTTAGCACAGGATCCCTGAGCTCCCCTCAGTGCAGTTTCTGTCCACCTGGTCTCTGTATGCACCTATAATATCTGGGCATACTGAAAGTTGCCTGCTCCTTAAGATTTTCCAGATAATGTCTCAAGATCCATCTCATGCCCCCTTCAAGGGTAATTTTTCTACCTTTTTCCTGGGTAATCTTCTGTGTCCTGGAAGAGTATCTCATATGTAGCTCCAAATTGCATTTTCCATCTTTCTGATCTTAATGGCCTAAGCTTTGTGTTCTCTTTCTAAATCAGGTATTACTAATGTCTGGGGTGGAGAAGGAAGATAGACTATCTCTTAGCAAATATGGTGAAAGTTATACAGTCTGTATATAACTTCACACCCCAGATTTGGCATTTGGTTCCTCCCTACTGTACCCAGTCAGCCCCAAACACATTGCACTATTTCACAGGACTTCTAAGATCAACCAGCAGCTTGGTCTCTCCTACCTTGACCACCAAGCTTCATTCCCAGCAGTGACTGTCAAAGAACAAATCTTCTTTCTGCTAGAGAAGCCTTTGCTCTTGCCATCTCTTCTGCCTAGCACCCTCTTTCCTAGTCTCTTTACCTGATGAACTAGAACCTTCTTATTTTTGGAGTCTCCATGTAAATATGGACTCGGCAGTCTGACCTTTCCTGTCATGTGCTGGGATATAGCCCCAGTCACTCCTGCACTTAATTATTCTTTACAATCCACTCAGGCTGCCTGCACAGCATGCAGCCCATACTAAAACTGTTTTGCTCATTCCGCTACAAGATCACCTGTTTATTGCCTAGCCATCCTAGAGAATAAGCTCTAAGTTTTCGAGACACTTTCTACCTTGTGCTTGACTAGCACATAGTCATAGCTCAATAAGCATTTAGTAAATATGTGAATGAATTAATTTCACATGAATGAAGAAAGGTTTCCAACTCCTGAATCATTATAAACCGTTAGAGAAGAAGGAAAAACAAACCAATAACTGGTGCAGAGGATGATCAGAAAATGACTTTCTTTTGCCAAGTCCCCTAGGGTAGCTCTCTCACATCATTGGTCTTTTGGAGCAAAAGAAACTAAACACTGCCAGGACAAGATTTCTGGTCCTTGGGTCGTTTTTTTGGTGTCAACTTATGGTTGGTAGGGCAGGGGAGCTTCAGCCCAGTTCTTAACCATATGCACAATCAATGTTTCCTTTACTTTGGCAAGCTACCAGCCTTCAGTTTCCATAATTTTTTTTTTCAGTTTTTCTTCATTTTTAAGCTAGTTTAGTGCCCCTGTCAATCTTAAGCCCTTACTTACAGCTGAACTCAGTTTCTTTCTTCACCTTCTGGCCTTTGTCTCCCCCCTGTGGCAATTTATCTTTACTCAATTCTGGGTACATAGATTAACCCCTTAAGGCACTTAAAGGTATATATTTCATCCCATTAACAGAATTATTGTACTAATTTCCAGATGCTATGGGAGGTGCTAGCAGGTATGAAAATGAATCACATACAACTATAAGACATCAGCATTTCCCTGGATCCATCTGGTCCTTTCTATTACCTTCCTTTTCAAATTTCCCAGTTCCTTTCTCAACAATCCTGGATATATCTGGATGACAGAATAGGTGGGAAATTCCTGAAATTGTCAGTCTCTAAGACCTCAGACCAGGTTTCTATTTT